CAACCATTCACTATGTTCAGAATCTCAGAATGGAGCAAGTTGGACATTTATAATTGTTCTATTGATATTTTTGCTTTGACAACATATTTTTTTGATTGATCATATAAAAGTGACAGTAAATTGATTATTTTGTTTTATGTAAAAAAGGTGTTGAAAATGGAAATAAACTCTTTCAATACAGTTTTCTCTTGTTTACATTTTGGGATTTTCAAAGTATGACTCTGAACTCTATGGGCTAGTCACATTTTCTGAATATCCATGATACTTTTATTTCATTATTAAAAAAATTATGGTTATAATGCTTTTAAGCATTGTGTAATATTGCATCAAAATTTAACAAAACCCTATTCTGGTCACTGCCTCCGTAGTGGCGGTGAAAGGAAAACCATGTCACTTGCTCTTCTCACACTTACAGGAAAGAAACATAGGACGGAAATACAGCTTCAGTTGTAAAATTGTCTCATTAGTTTATTGTTTGGAAGTCATACAGGTTTTTTGTGAAAATTTTTATCTTTCACATGTTGTAATTTTCAATGTGGGACTTAGAGCTCCCTTGGGCATGAAGCCCAGTGGTGATCAAATTTTCTTAATGACCATGTTTTTAATAGTAGATATTTTAAAATTGGTGGTATTTATACAGTTAATCATTATGTAATGTTGCTTCAAAATTGACAAAAAACCTACTTTGTGCTCTGCCACCATTACTATTATGTAAAGTAAAGTGTTACTTTCTATTTTTTAACTAGTCTTACAAGAATGATTCTTAGGATTGACATACAGCTCATATTATAAAACCAGCTCTATTGGATTATCATTTTTATTAAGTTTATGCATTTTTTTGTGAAATTTTCATTTTTCTCATTCTGTCACTTTCTAATTGTAAAATTGAACTTCGATGGGCCTGAAGCCTTATGCTTTTACTTTCATCAGTGTTACCTGTTGTGCATAATTAAAATTTGATGTTGACTGTGCAGTTAAACATAATGTATTATTGCATCAGAATTGGCAGTCTCCTGTTTTTGTGCATTATTGTTTTCTGCTTTTCTTAAGGTGTGACTTATGGGCCTGAAGACCTTTGATAGACACATTTGTGTAGTCAGTCTTTCAATTCCCCTTGGGTATTCAATAGGCCAAGTTTAGTGCTATAAACTCATTTGCCTAATTAAGTGGCCATTAAATGAGATTTCATAAAGCACACTTGTTGATATTTCCCTGTAAACTCCCAAAGGTTAAGCTCTCTGCTAGATAACATAGTGGCCATAATAAGGAAGCAGTGAATAACAGCTTCATTAGATAATATTTTTGTTGTTTCCTTTTTAATTTTTTCTCCAGCACTGGCATTTATAAGATGTGACTTTTAACTCACATCCACCTGAGGCTCCGCACATTTTCTGTATTTCCACATAAGCAGTTGTATTGCTATTCATGTCTTTAAACACTATTTAATATTATCTTACGTACTGTCATCATTTTTCATATATTGGGACTTTCATCATGTGAATTTTAACTCTCTTGGTGCTAAAANTTAAACACTATTTAATATTATCTTATGCACTGTCATCATTTTTCATATATTGGGACTTTCATCATGTGAATTTTAACTCTCATGGTGCTGAAACTGTAATCTTATTGAAGGGGTGGATTGAGACCATCTTCTGGGTCTCCTGGAAGACAGTCAGATTTTAAAGTTTATATTGATGGGTATCTATTTTTTTTCTGTTGGAAGACCATCAAAATGGAGGATGGATCAACAAAAATACTTTAGAATACTGTCAGAAAATATTTCTGGATCTGCTCCTGTTATTGACCATGTTACCTGTTGTGCATGATGAAAAATCAGTGTTGACTGACTGTGCTATTATAAGCATTATTTATTATTAATCAAAATTGACAAAATGACCTCTTTTGCATCTTTTTTTCTGTTTTTTGTCTGTACATTTGACAGCTTTGCTGCCTTGTTTCATTTTTTCAGCATATATGCAACACCGATAACACAATAAGTGAAAAACCGTTTTCCTTTTGGCTTGAAACTTACAGAATTGATGAATATTTATAATACGCAGGTCAAGTTAAAAAATCAGCACGATCGGGCCATTTTAAGGGAAGTTATGCTGTTTTTTTTTTCACTTTTTTCAGCATATATGCAGCACTGATAACACAATATAAGAAAAACAAATTGTCATTATACTCACAGGACTGGTCAATCTTACTAAAACTTAGGACGAGTTGGAAAATCAGCATAATTGGGCCTTATTTTAGAAGTTATGCTGTTTTTCACATTTCCTCAGATTCAATTCTTAGGCATGTTAACAGTCTCATTATTGAACTAATAAGATACGTAAAAGTGTTTGTTTGACAATTCCTGCATCTTTATAACATTGTTAGTTGATTATGTAAAAAAGTTGGTAAACTTGATATCGTGTATTGTGTAATAAAGTGTCTAAAATGGAAATAAACTCATATCATTGCAGATTGTCAGATTCAATCATCCACTATGTTCAGAATCTAATAATGGAGGAAATTGGACATTTAACACTGTTCTATTGATATTTTTCCCATCTCATCAATTTTATTAGTTGATCTAATAAAAATGGCAGTAAAACGTTTATTTTGTTTTATGTTAAAAATGTGTGAAAAATGGAAATAAACCCATTGCAGAACAGTGCTGTCTTGTTTACATTTTGGCATTTTCAAGGTGTGACTTTGAAGTTCCATGTGCCTGAAGCCTTATGCTTGTTACACATTTTACTTACATTGGTATTACCTGTTGAGCATAATTAAATTTTTGATGTTGAATTTGCAGTTAAGCATAATGTACTTTTGCACTAGATTTGACAGTAGCCTATTTTGTGCATTGTTATTTCCTGCTTTTTGTCTTTACATTTGACAGCTTTGCTGCCTTGCTCTGTTACTTACCATTTAACAGGTGTTACTGGATACATACTGTGAACAGTATATGTAATAGTTTTATTTGATTACACTTAAATTTTATGTTTGTTGAAGTGTGCGTGGATTTTCTGAAGGTACCTGCATAGTCTGGAGTCTAGGACAATTCCCCCCAGGACAATCCCCTCCCCCCCCTGGACGATTTCCCCCAAGAAATATATATACAAATATATATACAAAGTAAATTTGTGTTCAGCTCAAAACATTTCATCCGATTTATTAATGATTTTAGTGTGATAATACAACTTCATCATTAAACAAATTACTTTATAGTTAATTCCTTTTTCGTTTAGTACAACAAGTATAGAAGGTATTGTTAAAAATATAATCAAAGTATAACCACCTTTCTCCAGGTAAAGGTGGGAAAAATAGATAAACAGGTAAACAAATATTTTATGAACATTTCTAGTGTGATGGGTAGTGGGAAGATAGGTAGTTGTTAAGCAATTAAAAGTGACAGATAATCAAAGGGATACCTAGATAGGGGAGAATCTGTTTACACCCACCTCTCCCTTGAGATGCACCTTGATTCAAGACTTACTTAATCAAGGGGAGAGTAATGAAGCTATTAAAAGTAACAGTTAACTCATCAAAGGGTTACCTGAGAGTAAGATCATCTGTTTACCTCACCTTTATCTGGAAATATACTTTGATCAGATTTTAATGAAATTTTATGTACCTGTACTTGCATTTCTAAAAATTTCTGTACTTGTACTCCATGAGAATAATTTGTTTGATGAAATTAGCATTCTTTATCTTCGAGTTGCATCATCACACTAAGAAATATTCATAAAATGGATGACAAGATTTAGATTTTATACTCTTTCCCTTATATTTGTATATAAATATATATTTCTTTGGGGGAATTGTCTGGGGGGGATTGTCCTGATACCATTGTCTGCATATACAGTGTTCATGTATGTGAATGACGCACATGTTGCTGTTTTAGCTATCAACCATCTGTAGTGAAAAAATTAACATTCCTCACAGAGGTTAGTACATTGAACTCTTTCTTGTACTCTCTCTTGCTACAGGTATTCAGAGGAGATCATTGTTGCATTTCTTGATAAAGTTGAGATGCAATCCCAAGAGCTAAGTGCGACAGATGGACGTGAAAGCTGGATGAGGTTTATATTACAGAACCAGAAATTTTGGTACCATGTTCTAACAGCTAAAGGTCCAAATGTATCATCAGTGCATCGTCATAAATCCTATCATCAGATGTTGCTGGCATTGCAAGGCATTCTGGAGAGTATTTTGAGCAAGAATATTTCATTGAAGTCATTTGATCATTTGCTCAAATTATTTGAGACCTTTGGAAGAAGTGCTTGTTTTGAGTTACTTTCTGCATCAGATCCCCAAGGTAAATGTAATAAAAGAGAGGTGGAGAAAGCTGTTTCAGAATCTGAGAAGAAAATAGAGGAGAGATGGGAGCAGTTAGAACACTTAAAGGCACTCGATACACTTGTTTTAGAGCCAGCTAGTACACACCAGCATTTTTCTAAGATAGGAGAACTTAGTGAAATTATTAAAAGGTGTTGTAAGCAACTGCAAAGACAGGCAGATATCAGCGTCAGAGAAATTGGACTTAAATCATTTTGGGGGTCATTTGATGGCCTATGTAAACCTGCAAAGGTAATTTACCCATACTTAGAATCTACAGTTTTCATCAATGTTTGCATGAGTCTTATACAATCTGTTGGCCCTCATAATCAGGAGCAGTCGAACAATGAAACCCTAACAGGGATGCCGTATGATGCGGAGCCAACTTCTGTAGACAGTGGATCTTCAGCAGTCAATGAAGCAGACTTGGAATCATATGTCATACGAATTGCTACACAAGGCATTCACAAATATGTTTTGAAATTTGAAAGCTTTTTTGTAGATGAAGACATGTTGTTACAAGATATAGGGCAAATGTTCCAAGGTAGTGACCCTTTAAAAGAATGTGAACTATTAGAAATGCTTCAGAGACGAATGTTTCCAAAACCAGTTCATGACAGACTTCAAAATTTCCGTGCATTAATGAAAATGGCTAAATTGGTCAAGAGTATGAAAATTGTTCTTGCAGCATTTAAAGTGACCATTGAGGAAAGCAGTGAGTTTGGCTGTGCCATAGTAAACTTTTCCAAATATTTTGATAATCCTGAAAAAATAGGTCTGTTTGAATTGAGTGATACTATTGATATGGTCCAAAAAGTAATCAAAGGCTTTGATCAAATGGAAACTTGGAATGTTATAGAAGAATTGTCACAATCACAAGCACTTCTGGAATTTCTTAGAGAGATTATTGATGAGGACATCAGGAATTTGATAGATGCAGTTGAAGAACACGCTGAGCAGTTTGTTTCAGAATCCACAGTCTCTGAGCTGATCGCAGTGAAGCAATTTATCCAGCCACTTATAAAATCTGAGAGTACATGCCTGACCCAGCCTGAAATGTTTTTCTACACACTGCAGCAATGTGTGAATGATGGTCCCAAAGATATGTCAGGGAAAATTCGCAACTGTATGGATCATCTACATAGTTTAAAGGCTCTGTATGCAAATGTTGCCAATAGAGGAGAAATGACCAAAGAGATCATTAGAAATGTATTAAAGGTAGGGCAATTCAGGTTTGGTCTTTATAGTGACCATGTATGTCAGACAACAGTATTCTGCGAGACAGATGAGAAAACAACAAGTTATGGTATAAATGACTTGAATGACCTGCGAAGCAGAGCACTTCTTCTCAACAATGCAGAAGAAACAAACTTAATCAGTGGTGACCATGTCAGTGCTCCCTTGGAAAATGTAGAATTGGATAAGTTTATTGCAGCTGTGGATTCTGCATATGAAATATCCTCTGTCTGCACTCTGTTACACATTTCTGGTCATTTTAGATATCGACAGTTTGAAAGAAAAAAATTGGAAATATGCCAGTTAGAGGATATATTGCTGAGCCTGAAAAAAGACTTAAATGACTGGAATGAAGATCTGCAACGAGCAAGGGATGAATGTTATTATCTGAATTTCATTCATGCTGACCAGTTATGGACACTTCATGACTACTTTACACATAACATTCTTGATTCATCTTATGAACAGGCACTAGGGATTCTTTCCTTTATTTGCCCTGGTGCTAATGCTCCAGAGGGGTTTGTTAGTGATGTCTCTTCCTTTGAATCACATAGTAATCCATATCAAACTTTGGTGGAGATTGGTAAAGCATTGGAATCATACTTCAAGTCCGCTATGCCCACTTTGAGACCAATATATGGAGTTTCACATGAACCAAGAAAGGAAGTAGTAGCAACCATGGATTCCATGGTTCAACCAGGGCAATTATATGTTGCAACATTGGACAGAGAAAGTCGCCAGATTGTTCCAGTAATTCTAGAGTTGTACGCCTTTACTACTGGGCTTTATCCAGAACCCCATCAAATTTTGTTTGCAAATCAGAGTACAAGTAGTGATGAGATTCAGTTGTTTTTAAGGCGTTGCATGAAGTCAGTGTCTCGTGGGAAATCAGCTTTGTACTGTATTACAAATGTTGAAGCTCTACCAGGTGACCTGCAATTCTATCTTGTTGATGAAATTCAGTCTTACTTGCAACAAGATGGTGCATGTAAGAATGAACATTTTCTCCTGGCTATCATTTGTAGAGGCGGAGCGCATCATTCATTGGTTGACCAATTTTCTGATTTTACCCACAGAATTCAGGGAATGCAGAATGGGATGCTTCATGAGTGTCTATCCAAGCTTGATAGAGCAGTAACAGTTGTAACCTCAGAAGTACCTGGGCTTGGCAAAACAGAAGAAATTTTACAAAAAACCGCAGAAGCTGGACAGGCTGTTATAACTTTCCCAATAAGTGGGCCATTCAAGAGAGATGTCACCGTGAAGAGACTGGTTGACACCAAAGTAACCAAGAGCCAAGCACTCCATTTGAGCCTCGATACTGTGGATGATCCCAGAGCTTTGGATGAATTCATATTTGAGCTTTTGGTCATAGGGACAGTGAAGGCAGGAACATCTTTATTCCACATGCCTACAAAAAGCATCTTCATAGAGGTTAGCAATACAATAGGGGATCATCTTGTTAATTCCTTATGTGCTGTTATGTGTTTTAAGAGAATACATCTGCAATGGAAAAATTATAAAAATTTGCGAGTGAGTGAAGAAATCACAAGTCCTGTGCAGGTGGTATGTCATTATTTGAAAGCTTTGGATCAAGCAACGTTGGATACCCAGGATATCATTTTTCATGACCAAAGAGCTCCAAGACCTTTACCAGGATCAGCCTGCCAGGATCTGCTTAAAAAACATTTCAGTTCAAACCCAGATATGTCATTTGCTATACTAAACATTTTTATCAATGTCCTCTCAGACCAACTGAAGAAACTCTCTGCAAGTTTTTTCTTCAAAGCATCAAGTCTCCATGCAATGCTTGGTGAAGAAAAGCCACAGACAGTACGCTCCAGTCTTGTGAGAGCACTCATAGAGGTTTCAAAAGAATTCTCTGCAAGATCAATCACTAGTTGTAAGGAGCAGCAGTCTTTAGCTTTGTCGCACATGGAGCAAATACAAAAGCTTCAGATTGAAACAGAAAAAACAGAAGACAGTACAACATGTATGTTAGTTAGAGTGCAAAGTATGATAAGGTGGAGTGATAGCAACCATTTTTTGGTCTTCTTTCATAGTTCAGATTTCCAAACAATCTCAATGTTGTATAGGTCCTTGGATAAAGTACCAAAAAGACTAAAAGAACTCTTCAAGACTCAATTTGAGAAATCACTTCCAGAGATGAAGAATCTGTCACAAGAGCAGCTGAATGAAATGCTGGAGAAGATAGCAAGGACAAAGCCAATTTGTTCTCAAAGAAAGGCTTTATCAGTTATTGCCGAGAAATATGCTTTGACACCAGACAATCTGCTGAAGATGGCATTGATTATCATGAGAGTCCGAGCTGGGATTCCAGTTATTATAATGGGGGAAACTGGATGTGGCAAAACAAGTCTCATAAAGTATCTTGCCTTGACTTGTGAAGTTGACCTTACAACTTTTAACATTCATGCTGGTATACAAGAGGAAAAGATTTACAAGACAGTCATGGATCTTGACCGAAAGGCAAGTGAAGACCTTGACAACTCATATTGGTTGTTCTTAGATGAAATTAATACTTCCCAATACCTTGGCTTCCTGAGTGAAATCATCTGCCACAAGTCCTGCAGAGGACAACCACTATCACCCAATCTAGTATGCATTGCAGCTTGCAATCCTTACAGACAACGTGAAGAACATCAGATATATTCTGCTGGCTTACAGGGTAAAGTAAAGATGGACTCCCAGTCAAAATTAGTCTACAGGGTGTACCCTCTTCCAGAAAACATGATAGACTATGTGTGGGACTATGGTACCTTGGAGCCAAAGGATGAAAATTGTTATATCTCGCGGATGGTTGAAGATATAAAGTCAGCAAAACAGAACCAGATTGTTTGTGTGATTGTGGAATCGCAAAAGTTCATGAGAAAAACTGAGCATAGTGACTGGTGTGTAAGTCTTCGGGATGTTCACAGATGCAAGATATTGATCAAGTGGTTCAATGAAAATCTACCTAAGAAGACAAGTGCTTCACCAAATAAGCCACCTCATGATCATTCTTCATGCATGGCCCTATCTTTGGAGGACAAAGCCATCATATTAGCACTGGCCCATTGTTACTTTGTGCGTCTTTGTAACACTCAAGACAGAGCAGAATATGTGAAGCTTATTGCAGAGAAACTTTGCACTTCTGCTGAAGCAGTTTCTTGTGTTATAAGGAAGGAGCAGGAAGATCTTTTAGACAGAATGGAGCTACCTGAAGGAACAGCTAAAAATACAGCCCTCAGAGAAAATGTGTTTGTCATACTTATTTCAATTTTGAATCGCATCCCTATATTTGTTGTTGGCAAACCAGGTTGTAGTAAATCACTTTCAATGCAGTTAATTCGAAGCAATTTACGAGGTAAAGATTCACGCGATACATTTTTCAAAGAACTGCCTCAATTGTTAGTGGTTACATATCAGGGATCTGAGTCTTCAACTGCAGAAGGAATTGAAAAGGTGTTCATCAAAGCTAACAATTACAGTGAGCACAACCTTCAGTCAGATGTTCTACCAGTTGTGCTGCTTGACGAAGTAGGGCTTGCTGAGATGTCTCGACATAATCCCCTAAAAGTGCTTCACAGCTTATTGGAACCTGCTCATGGTAAATTTCCTGACATAGCTGTCGTAGGTATTTCTAACTGGGCCCTAGATGCAGCAAAAATGAATAGAGCAATTCATCTATCTAGACCAGACTTTGATGAGACTGAGCTATATAAAACAGCCTTATCAATAAGTGGGGCAGCTGGTAACTGCCAACATGAGAGTAAGGGGTATCTCAGAACACTTGCTGGTGCATACAATGATTACCTAAAACATCAACGGCATCAAAACTTCCATGGCCTACGTGACTATTATTCTCTCATCAAATATGTCACAGCTGACAAGAAAGCTTTTGGGTATCAATGTAATAGAGATGTGAGACTAAAACAAATCAATATGGGCCTCTTGCGTAATTTTGGAGGTCTTTCAGTCGAAAGAAATGACATTGTGAATGAATTTATGGAGAAAGTCGGGGGAGATTGCAAGTTAGATATCAGTGTTGATAATCTTGTGAGACAAAACCTCCAGGATGAACTAGCACGACATCTAATGCTAATCACTAATGGAGACTCAGCTGTAGGGATTTTGGAAAGATCCCTGAAAATACTGGATCGTGAATATGAAGTTATATTTGGAAGCCAGTTCGAGGAAGACCAACAAGAGGAGTACAATTACAGAATTTTAAGCAGAATCATTTTGTGTATGGAACGTGGTATTATTCTTATTCTCCGAGATCTTGAAAACATATACGGAAGCCTTTATGATATGCTGAATCAAAATTACACTAATGTGGGGAAAAAGCGCAACTGTCGCATTGCACTAGGCCCAAACAGTAACCCAATGTGCCATGTACATAAAGATTTCCGCTGTATTGTACTTGTTGACCAAAGCAAAGTTGATTACTCAGATCCTCCATTTCTGAACAGGTTTGAAAAGCAGCTTCTCAGGTTTGGAGATGTACTTACCAGTCACCAGAAAAATGTTATTAAAGACCTAGAGAATTGGGTGTGTGATATCTCAACAATACAAGGCCTTCCGTTCAATCATGAAGATGTGTTTGCAGGTTTTTATCAAGATACTTTGGCATCATTGGTTACAAAACAATGCCCAGGTGAAGATGAAATATATGGCACCAGAGAAATTCTTGAAAATTGTAAAAGAAAGTTGCTTCTGGTTGGAACACCGCAAGGAATAATCCGAGCAACAAGGTCAACAATGGGAAAAAGTATGCCACAGGAGGTCAGAAAGATACAACATATGTATTTTCAGTACCCCTTGTATGATGGCCTGCAGACATTTTTAGAGACTATATTGACCATGCCAGATGATGAAGCATCATCAGATCTGCTTCAAGATGCTTGGGATAACGGATCTGGTGTCAAGATAGTTGTTTTGACTCACAGCAATATCCATGCCCCTATTCAAATTGGGCCTCCTTTCAATTGCCTGCCTTTAAAGCTAGGAGCCTTTAAGTCAGAGAAGCAACTTACAGCACGGGTAAAGAAATACTGGATTGAAGATAAGGAGGATTTGCTTATTTTACAGTGTAGGCCAACGACAGATGCTGTACATATGCTGTTGGCAAAGACCATTATAGAACACTGTAGACAAGAGTATGTGCAGCAGTTAACCGATTCCTCATTAAAGAAGCATGTTTGCATCCTTGTTCACATGGATCACAATTCTTCTGAAATAGGCTGGCAGTTTAACTTTCTCTCGAGATGTTTGTTAGTATATTTAGATCGTCTTGACAAACCAAACAGTAAATTGCATGCTCTACTAGAGAAAAGTATTGTGGACATATTGAAAGAAGGAGATGTTAATTTACATGATACCATCAAGCAAAATTTCTTGTGGGCTCTAATCACTCGTATAACATACGCAGGAAAACAACCATCTCTGGATGTTGTCACAGATATCATTTGCTCTGCTTGTAAGTCCAAAGAATTTATTAGCTGCTTTGAAGATGCCATTCTCAACTGGCTTACGGTGAATGGATTTTCTGAAACTAGATCTATGTTTGATTCTAAGGCATGGCAACTGGATGTTGTATGTGACAAGCAGGCTTTGGAGAATTCAAGCTCCCTTCAAGAAGCACTGGAAAGGCGTGTAAAGCAGTGCTTGTCATGGCCCTTGGCTATGATAGTTTACCAGCTGGAATGCTCATCAGCATGGGCTAGTTTTCTCCATTACCTAGGTGATAATGAAGCAGATGTCCAGAAACGGGCAATATGGAAGCAGCTTTTTCAAAATCCAGATATTTTTCTCATCTCTCATTTGCAGCGACCCTTGCATGCTGGGTGTTATGTGTGCGATTCCCAGCAGTTGAATCTCAAATTTCCATTTAGTAAAGTGCTTTTTGCCCGTATAGATCAAGTTGAATCCCTTTTTATAGAGGACTTGAAAACTCTTTGTGAAAATGAAGATAACTTAGATGAAAATGGAGTGATTAGATTCAAGGTTCTTGGAAGGCAACAGCTTCGATTCCAACCGGTTGTTCTTGGTTGTCTGTGTGAGGTTGATTGTCACATAGATGCTTTTTATTCTGATCTGTTAGAGGATTTCTGTAACTTACAATCTGCAAAATTGGCACCATCCTTGGAGGAACATACTAGAGTCCAGTCAATGAAAACCCTTTTACTTCACCAATTTCAAGTAAATGCCAATGATGACAGAAAGAGTGTGTTAACAAGGGCCATTTTGGCATTTTGGAGAAAAAAAGGGCTAATTGGTTCACTTTTGCAGCTACTAGCATCGATATCAGTGCATGGCATTTTAGGTGATGCCTATAGTTTTCTTGCACAAGCTGTTGAAAGCTATGAGCAACAGAGCGAGACATTTTCATATGATTCTGTACAGCAAACCCATTACCCAGAGGTAATGTCAAGCTTGCAAAGAAACAAAACACCTGAATCAGGTCATAATGATATTAACCAAGTGTTTGCAACAAATGAATGCATTGCATATGGCACCAGTGAAACCCTGGATCACAAAGACGCAGAAGAAATGACACCTACTCTACAACAACACCTTGAAGAATGCATAGATTCTGTTGAAGATGACACCTTTCAAACAGAACATGGTGAAGTTGATGATATGGATGGAGCACCAAAAAGTTTTGCAAGTAGTGACGATATTGAAAAGAAACCATTAGAACAATTTATTGTTGAGCATGTTTGCAAAAGAATTTTACCAACAAAATCTGTTCTTCATCTTTATGATGGGGCCGTTCACTGGCACAACAGAATAAATATTTTACTGCAGTTATCTTCAGAAGTAATGTCACAAAGTGAAACTGGTGAATATCCATCAGTGCTGCACTATTTGCGTGTTTGCAATGACTATGTGAATGTGTTGCTGATTCCACACAAATTGTCAGACGATTTCATTTTAATGGATAAAGTGCATGATACAGAAGAAATTATGGAATCTGCTGAGTTATTTCGACAAGTGCTTGATAAGATCTGTAAACTTCATCTTGAAAACCAAATTCCTGCAGAAAGATTGGAACTTTTCATTTGTTTGTATTTTGGGCGAATTCTTGATGCAAAAATAGATACGGGTTTGTTTGAGGACATATTTCAGTTGGTCGGAAAAGGAAACATGCCAGATGAAAACCTGTGTTATTTTAGACCAGTTTTACAAAGAATTCTGCTAGCAGAAGATGAAGATGGGGCACTTCTGTTAAGAATCATTGATGGAGATGAGCAAAAAGTTTTTCAGGAAAATTCTCAATTGAAGCAGCTGGATGATGTATTGAAAACAAATTTTAAGAGGTATGGTTGGAACAGTTCTCTTGCAGCTTTGGTTACTGACACAATTGCAAGCATGTACTTTGAGTCATTGAGAATTTGTTGGGATAAAAATGTGCCAAATGATTTGGAAGTGAAGAGATTTTTTTCATCAAAGAAGAACATTATAACAGCCAAGAAAACTACTTTGAAGTTGGTGACAAGTGTTGCCTTTGTGAAATCCTTTTTTTATAGCACTGACCAGGAAATAGAAAACATTTTAGAAGGCAAAGCTAACAATAAATTTCTCATGGATGAACTTCATGCCCTGACATGCATTAGTGATGCAGACTGCAGTGACAGAAGCACAGTTTTTGTTAGGTTTCTGCTGAAATGGCTGCGGCAAAAACACAGCGTGGAAGGTGTTTGGCATATATGCGAAAAAGCTGCAGAGTCCTTCATAAGTTTGAAAAATATGGACTGGGGACCATCGGTTACTTTAAGAAGGATTAGCTACAACCCATTTGCAACATCAAAATATTACCAGGAAGCAAAACTAGCTTTCGGCAGATCCATAGTGAAGAAGGAAACTATTCAGCTAGATGATTTCTTAAATATGGCTAAAAATTCATCTGACCACCAGATGTCACTTTTGGGCATAGTATTTGAAAACTTTTATGTAGTCCGTGCATCAAGAAGTTTGAAAGTTGATGAAAACAGCACCGCAAAGCGTATTGCTGAAAAGTTGCAACATTATCCTGAACATGTGACAGTCCTTTTAAAGGGACTGCTGGGCATCTGTGATTTTGACTGTAAACATTTACACATAAGTACCGACTCAAGTGATCAGGATGTTCTACAAGCAGCGTTTATTATACATTGGCTTAGCCTGTTGTTTACATCCAAGAAAGATGCATTGTCGTATTTTAGATGTATAGCAACGGGTGCTGTTTCATCAAAGATGTCTACACCAGGCTGTCCAGATGTTGGACAGAAGATTGAGAGATATCAATTTTTGAAAACCGACACCATGCAAACGTCTCCAGTGTATGCAATAGATTGCAAATGTTGGAACAGATTGTGTTTCCATGAAAGTTCTACATGTAAATGCCCTCTTTGCCATAGGGAATTAGCCCCCACTGAAGATGACATTTTTGAGAGAAAAAGCAGCAGCCATGTCTCCCCTGATGTCAAAGAAGTGATCAAAGCATTGGACTGTGTCAGAGGTCTCACACCGTTGGCTCACCAAGTGTGTAATTTGCTATTCCAAGCATGTTGCCTGTATTCACCCCCAATGCCAGATTGTTCACAAGAAGATCTTTGCAGGCTAAGTGAAAAACATTTACTTGGTTTCAAAAAATGCTGGAATCAGTTGAAAATATTGATTGAAGCAGAAGATGGAGACCTTGCTACTTTCCTACATGTTTTGTTACTTGAAGAGAACAGTGTTCTTATCAAAGGTGAATTGGATACTTTTGAGAGTCGTAAGCAATGGGAAGATGCTTTTACTAAGAAATGTACTGTTTTATTCAAAGACTGGAGGGAGAAGTGCCGTACTTTCAAAATCCAGTGCTTTGAGAAAATGGGAATACCACAGGATTGCATGGCAGCACAACTGGAAGAAACCAGCAACCAACTGAATGTTGACTTGTACCTGCCAAGGCTGTTCAAACTCACCAGTCCAACTACATTTCAACTGTTTGGGGCTAAATTTGCAAATCAACAACTAAGTGAATCATATCCTTTGTTAGCCTTGTTTCTTCAACATTACAGCAGTCTTACACTTTTAAGCCATTTGACAAATATACTGAATTGGCACAATATATTTACTAAATTACAAAGCCAGCAGTTTGAGCGAAAATATGCAAAAGAGAACAGGATTTATGATATCTTACATTCTGGGGACAAGACAACAAAGGTGCAAGAAAAAACCTTGGAATATTTTAAGGCATTTGTAGAATCATGGAATAAACTACGACAGCATGCAGAACTTCTAAAGCAACTTGGTCTGGAAACAAGTTTGATACGTATGCATGATCAGGTCCATATTGCTGAGGTTATTATCAATGATCAAGATTCTCCAATCTATCAAGTCATTTGCATATTAAAGCAACTGCAGAACAATTTTCTTGCTGAGGTGCAGATGTTCAGTGTAACCACACATTGCCCAGCAGTGCGATTCCTGAACCATGACCCAGGATTATCCATTATCAAAAAGGTTCCACTTCAAGATGCAACTCTACAGGATGTTATATATATAGAAATGACTGATAAGTGGAAGAAGGAATTACTGAAGCATGCACAGTGTGACACACGCTATGGATTGGGGAAAATGGTTCACTTCGACTATGACAAAATTGAGATGGAATTGGGCAATGAACTAGTTCTTGGAAAAAGCTTCCTTGTACTCGATTCAACATTCCCATTGTTTCAGTATTCTGGAGAAATGTTTTTTGCTTCAGAGAGCATTCTTCATGATCTTGGAAAAATTATTCCCCAGATAGAAATATCATCGGACATTAGCAATGGTGTCAAACAAAAACAGGAAAAAAGTCATAAGAACACAAGAGAATTACTCACCAATTTGGAAGTGGTTATCTGTTTATTAAAACGGACTGGTGGATCTCCAGAACAAACTCTAGTAGCATATACAGATGAATGGTTGTCAATGCTTCCTACACCCTTTCCCAAGGATCCTCTACCTTCTCCACCAGACATTGTCAAGTTGTGCCACATAGTGTCACTCTACGAGATGGTAGAAGACATGCTGAGCACAACTGCTCTTGAAGCTCTTTCAGATGAATTTAGAACAAAACTGTCACCTGACCAGATTGAAGAGTTGAACCCTTTGTTACAAACCACAGACCTGAAATTGGAGGACTTCACAAGAGCAGTTCGCAGGTTCATTTTCAGGTACACTTCAAGTGCAGAGCAGTCCTCTTGTGCCGACCCTAGCAAACCATTGGTGAGTTACCTAAGCAGTACCTCATTGTGGCCAGAGGGCACATTTGAAGAGAAACCAAAGGACTTGAAGTTTTATATCCCAGAATGTTTGCAGGTCCAACATGTGTATGAAATACTAGTTAATGTAGAGGAAAAAATGAAGGTAATTTTCAATGATGTAAAATCTGTAAAATACTGCAATTACTGGTCTGTGAAGTTAAATAAAGATTACCACAAGATATAATTATGAAGTTATGAAAAAACACTTTTACTTAAATATTTGTTTCCTCAATGAAGACCTTTATGATTTTATGGTCACAACACAAAGTACTCACAAGTGATTTCCAAGTTTTCTCAATAAATAGAATAAAAAATGAACCAGTATCTTCTAAAACCAATATTCATTTATCAGCAAATGAAAGATGAGGAAGCCAAAGGCCAACCAGTAGACAAGCCAAAATCTAAACAGAAAAGAAAAACATATTCCAGAACATAGATATTGTAAGTTTTCATGAATATAAGTTAAGTTGAGAACATTATCTTCTATATTAATTTGATTTATGAAAATATATGGATTGACCATAAGGAGATAATCAAAAATGATTTCAAGCTTTGCTTTTAAAGTTGAATTGTTTACATTGATTTGTTTACATGCACCGGTAGCATAAATTTCACTTATAGGAGCAATGAAAGTCATTCTTTATTGGCCATGTTATGCAGGCCCGTAGCCAGGGTGGTTCGGGAGGTTCGAAAGAACTGCCTCTTTTGTCAGGAAAAAGTCCATTTTGGGTAAAATTTGATCTAGGTACACATAAGTTTCATTGTAAAAGGTCCACTTTTTCAGAAAAAGAACCCCCCTTTTGAATTTGCTGGCTATGGGCCCTCTATGTGTGTGCATTCTAACATCTGCTTTTTCTTACTAAAGTGCCATTAATTGTTGAGGGAGTTCTTGTCTTTGTGGAATATCAACATTTAAGACTGCACAGAAAAACCTACGAAATATTGATATTGGGGAGTACTAATTCATCTTTGCATTTTCAGGGGGAAATACCACACCTGAAAACTTGGAGAAATGCATGTATGGATATCTTTGGTGAGCATCCTTTCCAAAGCAGTTTTTTAATCAAGACATACATGTACATGTACTTTGCAATTGTGATATGAGCAGTGGGACTTCTCATATATTGAGAAAACAATCTGCTGGTGCTCAAATGAATTTGCAGGGAATTCATAAATATGTATGATATGTACAATGTGAATATGGATCCACAAACTCAAAATACATTTAAAATCAGTGGCAACTTGATTTATGTAAATAGCTGTATGTGCACTTGGAATTATTGTGAAGATACTATATTTAGCATAGAAACTTTTGTACATGCATTTGAAATTACCTAATATTTATAATAAGACTTATAATAAATCATTGTTATTATAAATATTAGGTAGTTTCAAATGCATGTATGAAAGCTCCTTTTGTCATATATGAATATGTCTAGTTGTGCATTATACATGTAGATGTACTTATATTGGTCATACATTTGTATACAGTTTGATAGAAACAGAAGTGTACATAGATAGATGAGCTATAAAGTCAGAGATGTAAGGTTTTTCAGAGCAGGGTGGGCAAACATCACCTTTTCGTTCATAATGTGAACTCTGTAAATACCAATGTGAGCATGCAATTAAAAACATTGCGGCTCTGAATAAGTATTATCAGTGTTTGTTACTAGTATGGTTTATTTACTTTTAGTAGTTTAGGTGAATGTACATTCCTGTAAATATTATATACAATTTACTCAAATATATACATACACATGTAGTAGATACTGTTATATGTAGGTATATTGTAGATAGCTATAGTAGTGAATAGATAGATAGATAGATAGATAGACAACGATATGCTGTCAGTTTGATGTGTTCTGCTTCAGTCTGATCTTAATGTCAGTGTGTACAATGAAATAGTTTAGGTGAGGTAGAGGAGATGAGTATATTATGTGCATACGTATAAAGTGTATATCTTGTTGATAAATGTTGTAAGTATGATGTAGGTATTGATATTTGTGCAGTATATATTCCTTTTGTATGAGGGCATACTGATCTATTACAGTGAATATGCAGTTCGTTTTTGTAAGTTATGTTTTTTTTATAATTGGGCAAAATACATGGACTATACCAGTATATATTCTGCAGATATAGTGTTTTGTGTACATATTTGAATTTAAGAGAAAGCTTTGTGCAGTGCTCGCAGATTGGCATTGGCACACACACACCATTAAATAATTTGTGACATGTAAATAGATGTATATGCAAGCAGTTTTAAGTCTGTATATATTTTTGTCTGAAAAGGCTGCTGTGAAATATGTACTGCATGGTACTATCTATATTTGATGAATACTACAGGTAAAGGTAATGCATTTACTGTAGCTATTATAGCAGGTTAAGAATGGAGACCAAGTTATTGTTTGGTTCTGCTGAAAATATTTTGGCAGAGGTGACATTGTTGGTAACTTGTAAATGTCACATTAGTTAGTTATTGACAGAGTTATGGAGGTAAAGCAAAGTGAAATGCTTTGCATTTAAGAACCAAAAAATGTGGTTTAATGAACCATGGATACAGTTTTTCATTCATGTTATTTATTGTTGTTAAGGAAATTTTCCTTTTGAACAATCACTACTATATTCAGGTATGATTTTTCTTACTGAATGATTTATTTTCACAGTTTTAATGGCCTTTTTTTAAGAAACTCTTTGAAACAGTGGATATGTGATGTGTATGTATGTCATTTTTGAGATGATAACATCACATCTATTTTATTTCATTTTTTTACACGTTATAGGAGATGTTTAAAACAAGATACTGCAAATTGTACATGTTGCAGAAGTATTTCTATTTCTAAACTGGGCTTTTTGTTCATAAGTTTATAAGGGATGGGGATAGGGAAGAAATGTAAAAGTGTAGATTTTCTGCTGAAAAGAAAAGGAGAGCTATAGCTTTGCCTTAATCTTTTGGCTGTTAGAATAATTGCATGTCTGCGTATGAAATACAGCAAGAACCCAATTAACCATTGAGGAGGTAAATTGTAGATGCGTATGAGAAATGTGGATTTTGGATCTAATTTAATTTAAAAAAAAACTGCATGATATGAATAAGCTAAAGAAAATTAGAACAGTAAGTTCTTGCATTAATGACCACATTGTTTGTATTAAACATGTGAACATATGTAAGATGGCATGATCCTGGTCATATTTTTAATTTTTTTTAATTTATATTTACTATTTGTGCAAACTATAGGACAACCTTTAATTTGCCTCTAACTACTAGTATAATTAATTCAATTTTGTTGAAATTTTGTTCAGAAGACTATTGTTAAAAAGCAGTCACATAAAAGGCCATAATAATTTGTATTTATAACCATAGACCCAATTAATTAATTTTTAAGGAAGTTTTTAATTCTTTATTAGATAAAAAGTAAAAATTCGTAAATTTTGCAAGTAATTGGAGTACGACCAAAGTGCTATAACTGTATGGCAAATTTTCATTAGTATTATTGTATTGTTTTTTTTTTTCTTTTGCACCATGGGATTATGTATTGTTTTTGTTTCACTCATTTATAAGGAGGCAATGGTTCTAAAATAATATGTCATGTACCACGGCACTGTAAGACGTAAAAAAATTATAATAGTATCAGCAAAATCTTTTCGTGTATTTTCTAATGCATGGTACATGTACACACAGCATTTTTATGTAGAAATTTTTAACATTCATATTTGGTGCATTTTTTACCTGGACTAACTTGGTTGTTAACATCTTATTTGCCTTAAGTTTAACATACTTCTGGGGAAAAATGTCATTTTAAGTTTTATTAGTATAAATTTTAATTTAATCTCAAGATAACACATAGCAAATGTTTTGACAGGAAAAGAAATTTGTTACAGACCACACCCTTATCTTGATTTTAAGTGTATTGCTGAAAAATATTTAGCAAAAGGCAACTTAAAGGCATGCAATCTGATAAAGGCTTTAATGTAGATACAAACTAAAATTCCAGAAAACTCTAAGAAAAACATGCAAACATCAAAACCTTAAAGGGAATTACCCATTAGGCCACACTGAATTTATTTGATGGATGACATCCATACCTGCATCCCACAAAATGCCATAAAACCTGGATATTCACAAAATTAATGTCTGAAACCGAAATTTTTTGTGTAATTTGTTATTTGACAGATATTGTGATTTGACAGGTCATGTCATTGTGAAAATATACACATAAAATTAAAGTTCACATAAAGATCAGGAGTATGATTATAGATTGTTATACAATCAATGTTAGTAAAGGGATAGCATGCTTTCTCAAATTTACAAAAGACTGGCAGTGGCCAGTAACAATTGTCCAGACAACCTCAAAGATGTCCCCTCCGGATTGGCTCATTTTTTTATTATTATAATTATTATTTTGCAATGATGAGAGAAATGGGAGGGGGTTAGGTCACGTATATGGTGGCCTTAAATAGGACCTTAAGTATTCTCAGATGTTTGTAAGATGCAGAGATGAAACAATCATAGCTAAGATTTTAATATTTTCAGCACAAAGAACTTTTTGTTTGAAACATTGTTCTGTGGTTCAAATTGGTTCCTTTACTTAAGCAGCCTTTTTTTTAATCATCCTCTTGCATTAGTTTCGGGATGTCCAGAGGAAGTTATCCACAAAATTAAATCTGTGTGGTCTTATTCCATTTGGAGTTTAGTTTTGGGAATTGAATATTAAAGTTTACCTTCTTTACATCATATGCAATGACTATTCACCAATAAAATGTTACATGGTATATGGCAATACAAGAATTAGGTAATAAGAGAATTTAAAGCAAGATACAACAGCCATGCATTCCTGGTGTTTACATCTGAGAATTCAGAAGTTATAAGAAAAACTTCAACAACAGTTAGCAATACACTTCATCAATGTCTGCTTTTCTCCTCTTATTCCTTAATTATATAATCATCAAAAAACAGATTGTTTGCCTTTAATATGGATATGTAATACACATTTTACAGGCCTGAAGCCAGCAATTTTAAAGGGGGTTCTTTTTCTGAAAAGTGGATCTTTTACCATGAAACCTTTGTGTACTTCTACCAAAGTTAACCTTGAGTAGACCTTTTCCTAGCAAAGAGTGAATGCCCCTGGCTACAAGCCTGTTTTAAATAATCCAGTCCCATAGCCAGGGGGGTTGGGGGGTTTGAAAGAACCGCCCCTTTTGGTGGGAAAGGTCCACTCTGGGTAAAATTTGATCTAGGTTCATGAAGTTTTTATAGAAAAAGGTCCACTTTTTCAGAAAAAGAAACCCCCCTTTTGAAATTGCTGGCTACGGGCCTGTAATCAGTGACAAATTAATCAATGTATAGACATTTAATGTAATAGAACAATACTTTTTAACCATCATTTTATCTTGAACACATTGTCAAACCAAATCCTGAAAATAAATAATATTTGACTAAGAGAAATGCCTACTCTTTGTGTTCTTCTTTAACTAAAATAAGTGATGAAAGAGAATAAGTCACACTTACAGGTACCGGTACATACGAACCGAGCATCGGTGGAGCGTGGTAACACATGTAAACCACTACTACTAGTTTCTTATACGACTCAAATAAAGTCAACATGCTAAGGGAAAAACTGAATAGATCACTCGATCAGCCATAAAAGAGCTTTAGGCTGCTCCTTTCTTAAAATTTTTGGTCGAAAATTAAACATACGTACGTACTTTCGTGAACTTCTTTTCTACCCCATTAACATACATGTATGTAGCATAGAATGCTAGCAGAAAAATCCATTCAAACATCATTTTTGGTTAAAATTAACGATGATTCTTGGTAATTCTCTTAGTTATACTACTTGAAACTATATGCTGGCATTTGGTCAGTGTTTGTGACAAAAAATTGACTTTGTATACTTCTTTAAAACTCACACAGGAAAGGATGGTATTAACAAGACAGTGAATGAATTAAAAATTGGACCTTGTTGAGAAAATCCTGCTCCTTGTTTGGATACAGCCATGGACAGTGTTAATTAACACAGTGAAAACTTGAATATCTGAAATTCAAACCCAAAAGATTTTGCTAAGGGTAAGTACACAGAACATTACTTCACTGACAACTAGAAAAGCAATCAACAAATGCAAAATTAAACTCTGCCAAGGTACATGTAGCTCAATTCTCATTTAATATTAATTAACTTAAATTTCAATTGGTACTTGGTCCACTCTCAACAGATTCTGAAAATTCCATCAAACATCCATCCCCAACTTTTTTGCATATTTTTCTAACAGACAGGCAAATTAATACTTGTAGCTATATTCATCCTTCCCTGCTCACAAAAGTTGGCCACGTCATCACCTGTGGAATTCTTTAAATTCCACAGAATGACACTGAAAATGATGTGCTTTACTAAAATTGTCATCAAATTTATATTTTTCATGGTAATGGGTTCAGGCCTACCCAACTACCAGACTCGGCACATAAGGATCCTGAATTAACCGGTATTTTGGACCACACTACCCATTTTCAAGGTGTTTGTCAGATCCTTATGTGCCAAGTCTGGTAGTTAAGTAGGCCTGGGGTTGAGAGTTTCACTGTTAATAGAAAGTGAGCAACATGTGCATGTGGGGAAACTTCATCTTGTAGATCTGACGGTAGGTTCCAATAGAATAACAGAAAATATTTAGGCTCACGTATATTGATAATGATGTTATAAGAAATAGAAATGAGTTAATTTGCATTCATCACATTCATTTTTGCACTGTAGCAATTTTACCTTTGACATTATCAGAAAAAAAATGAAAATATATATGATACTGAAGATGGAAGTGAAATAAATACACAAAAAAATATTATTTAAGAATCAAAGCAAAAAATGTGATATGTAAACTTCTGTCATATTTTAGGGATCTGAGAGGCAGACAAAGACTGGTGCATCTGGCTAGAGACTGAAAGAGGCCACAGAGATCAACCTGTCTCTCTCTCTCTCTCTCTCTCCACCCTGGGGAATGTCATCTCTACCCTGGTGGACGGGAAAAAGCACCCACATCCTGTACAAGAACTCTAAACTGACTCAGCTTTTGCAGGACTCCCTTGGAGGAAACTCCAAAACAGTCATGGTATACTTTTACCCCTTTGTGTCCAAGCTTTTTTCTTTTTACTTATAAAATGGTTTATTTCTCTCTGAACTTAATATGATAAGGAATTTTCTTTTTGGAGTCAACATGTTCATTTGACATTTCTTTATTTCTGAACTTAATGTGAGGAGTATTTTTAGATCATAGTTGATCACCAGCACTAAAGGTTATGTCCTATACTGCCAAGCTTAGTAATAATCATACATCAGAAATCAGAATTAATATCACTAATTGAATTCAGATTGCTGACTGTGGTCCAGTCGATTACAACTACGACCAGACCATCAGCACACTGAGGTATGTCAACAGAGCCAAAAGCATCAAGAACAGCGCCAAGATCAAGGAGGACCCCTAGGACGCCCAACTCGGGAGACTTCAACAGGAGGTGGAGGAGCTGAAAAAACAGCTGGAGGAAGGAGGTGAGATATGAAACTGCTTTCTGGATTGCCTTAACTAGAAATATGTGTAGAGAATAAGATATAGAGAGATAAATAATTAAGTATTGTACTAGAACTTTATATTAGTTAAAAAAACAACAGAATGAATCAGAACTTACATTTTGACTTATAGAGATGGTTATTTTTATGAGGCTTATGAACTATTGGTTGTAGTAGAAAAACAGCTTGAAAAAAACTAAAGAGCTGTTTATTTCTCTATTTTGATTAGATTATGAAGGTAAGCTAGAAGTGATCAGTTCTTTCATTTAGCTTAGTTCCATGCAATCTAATTGAGAGCTTCTCCAAAAATTCAGTTTTCAGCAGTGCAGTATTGTATCGTTTCTGCTGTGAATCACCTAATTTGAAATTCCTAAATTGTCTTGCCTTAAGTCCAATAGCCTTTGTGATTTTTCTTCATTTTTGTGTCCTTGTTTATTTTCCATTGCTTCTAGTTATTTTTATCAATCAATTTTTCTTTCAGCAACATAGCATCTGTTTATTATCTCATGTTGCTTACTTTTTACTTTGCACAAGTTTGATATTCGCAAGTGTGTAGACTTTATATTGATGATATTTATTTGTGTCCTTGTCAATCAAGTTGCTTACTTAGAATTTTGCCACTGTCATAAATAGAAAACATAAATGTTGACAGCTTTCTTTTCTTTTGTGCGTTAAGAGAAAGATAGACACAAGCTTAATTCCAGCATTGTTCCTTTATATCCTTTAAGAACACATTTTGTCTCCCTTGCTTTTCATGTCATGGCTACCGCAGGCACTGGAGGAGGTAAAGCTATGATATTTAGTTGTAGTAACTTTGTGTCGCAAAGCAATTTGTTGTCCTGCTTTTAGTTGATTAGATAGTCAGATGAGCATTTAATTACATGTATATGCAAACTTTAGTCCAGATGACAATCCACTAATCTTATTTAGGAGTGATAAACATAATTGTTTGACCAATTTGAAAGTACAAATGTAATAATCAACTAAGCAATAAAATAAAGACAATTCTTGGTGAAAACTTCTCATTAATATGCTGTGAAATGAATCAGTGTTTCTTGGAAGACGGAGAGAAAATTGTTCTTCATTTTCCAAATTCCTTATGTAATATGTCAGTAGTTGTAGTGGAGATAAAATCGTGTGTTTCATAATCTAACACCCCATTTCCAGAGATTAGATCGACCTACTTTAGATCGACCTAACTCCCTGGGGGTTCACGCTAAATAGCTGTCAGCCGGGCGGACACGTAAGTTAATTACNGGTTTAAATAATCGCTATCTAGACTCCTTTTTCTTTGACAGCAACATAAAAAGTGTTTAGGGAGAAAGTCACACAAAGACCCGACGTTGTTTTGTCTTCAGCATTTCCTCTTCCTTGTTATCTGCAATTACTATCGTCAATTAATGAAATCGAGAAAGCAATTAAGTGACGGCACATTGAATATAGTCACTAGGTGCATTTCGCTGAGTGTTTACAAAATTTAGCGACACATTTTATCGCCACGCGTTCTAGTTTGATTAGTTTAGAAAATTAAACAGTTACTCTGGCGGCTTTCTGTCATTGCTATGAATCTGACATCTAAGTTAGTCCAAAATATTAGTAAATTCAGAATTATTATCTAAAACGTAAATTGCCCTAATTTGTCAGATAATCAAAAATGCCGGTGATCCACGCGGAGGGTACGCTTTCCTGAAGGTAGCGGCGACGAACGGCGACGATATTTTTCTGAATAGTGAACCTTTATTTGTTACGAAAAGCCCCCTTTTCAACAGGCGCGTTTTATTAATTACTTCATGTCACAAAGTTAATTTATACAGGCAAAACTTTATTCAAGGAAATAGTTTCACGAAATGAACGAGAGTAAAATATAAGTCGGCACAAATATAAGGCATACAACAATGAGTCATGTTATGGATCATGTTATGAGCCATGTCGGATTATAATGGCATACCTTGATGCAAAACAGTCTATCGTTTCTTCCACCGCGAGTCCCTTTATTTAATGTAATGTATTACTCATTACCCGTTTCATTTGACACTCTCTCTTTTTATCTCCCTTCCCCTTTCTCTTGTTAGAAGGAGGGTAAATAATTAAGCACTCAAAATCTGCACCACCAATCTTCAGAAAAACATAAGTCAACGAACCAGTGGGCTGATCCACAACATCCGACACAGCAGAATGAATCAAATAACAGCTAGCACAAATTTATACGCAGTTAGCTATAGTGTCACTACATACATAATCAGCTGCACGCGCGAAGCTGTTGAACAAAAGGATAGTTCGCTACGGGAGACCGTTTGTTTACATAAGTACTCTAAGGGGGCATGGCTACCCAGGGGACCAGGGGATAAGGCTAGTTACTATATGCCGTCAACAATCGTTTAGCGACCCTATCATTATACACTCTCTCTATTGTATTTTCCACCGCATTAATCGCAGTGTAATCTTCAAATGGTCCACGGGGTAAATGTACACATTCTTAATCCTAGTACGGTATAAGTATTTTGAATTATTATATTATATTATATTATATTATATTATATTATATTATATTATATTATATTATATTATATTATAAAACTTTTCAAAAAGTTTCATTTTTCATTATTTATTTATTATTTAAAATTATAACTTAACATATCAGTATAAGTTGCATCATCCTGTGGGCAACAATATTGTACTAATTGCCACGTTGGGCAGTGAAAAATAATGCTATAACCTACAACAGTGTAGCCTCATAAACATTGTAGACAAGTTGTGGAATGGTCCTTAGTCAACCAAGATTTTTAAAAATCATATTTGAGGATTCATATGACATGAAATATTTTTATTGTAGGAAATGATAGAACAGTATGTGCACTGGAATGAAGATATAGGGGAGTGGCAGTTGAAGTGTGTGGCCTACACTGGAAATAATATGAGGAAACAGACACCACTGCCTGAGAAGGAAAAAGATAAAGTAAATAAAGATATATATATAATGATATATTAATTTATCTTTTAGAAAGTCACACTTGTTATCCTCAGTGCAGCTTACATAAAACCAGACAAAAGACCGTGTTTTTTTGACTGCTGCAAAATACAATATAATGATGAGCATATATTTATAAGAATTAAAGGGATAACAACTGTTAGTAATATATCCATATTTCACAATAAATACATTGTATATAACTCATAGAAATACAGTAAATTCTATTTTGCCCCCAAAACGGCAGTTAACACAATTATTTTGGAATATGTACTTGCCATCACATCAAGTGACCTCCATAGATGGCTAAACTCTGTAATAATCAAATAATAAAACTCTTAAGAGATTATTACAAAAAAAAACAAACTTTTTTTGAAAAAAAACAAAAAAAAAATGGGAACTAATTTTGAATGTTGAAATGGATTCATTTACAATTGGTAAGTATGGGAAAATTGTCCTTATCCCCAGGAAAATTAATTTTGTGTCCAAAATGAACAGTTGTTATCCCATAAAGTTGTAAAAAATATAAGAAGTTGAAAAAAAAATTACAAGCACAAGTGTGTTTCATTTTGTAAATGTCAAGTCATAATAATAATCATACTTATAATAATTGTTGAATAATAGGGATAATAATTATTATAATAATTCAGTTTCAAAGGTTTTAATAATGAAATTAACATTAACAAAATGGCTTTCATTTGAATTGATCTGAGTATATTAAGAAGTACATGGACTCCATGTTATCTCATATTATGATAATTATTCCAGCTTGCAGATTTTGACCTCTCTCAAGTCTACCTAGCCTACTCTGCAGAGAGTGCAGAAGAAGCCATGAGACCTAAGACTGCTGGGAAGGATCGACCCAAGACAGGCCGACCCAAGTCTTCGAGAAAGTAAGAAATTCACCTAGATATTTCTTGAAAAAGAGACCTTGGTTGGTGGTAATATCTCCAAGTTAAAATGCTCCGGTCTGTCCATCTTGATCTCCTGTGACTGCAGAGAAAGTGATTTCTCCTTATGCCCCTTTAGCCCTATATATGAAAGTTATTGCATTTTAAGGGTAGTATTAGTTGAATCTGTTAACTAGTGTAATAAGTAGGTATCTGATAACATATTACATATAGTGATCAAAGTGATAACCTTTGGCACCTGAGTTACATTTGGGTCATGTTATACTTGGTATCTGTGAATTAAGATAATCAGGCTAAACAAAATTACATATTATTTACAAAATCATCTCACTATAATTAAGCAAGTTTTATTAAAAAAAAACAACTACTTTTTAGATATTCCTTATTTACTTCTGTAATAGATTATTACATATTTTTCATTTCAGGAAGAGGAAAGAAGCAGACATTGATTCCCTTCTCCAGTAAATTAGACAGATGAAAATAACACGAATTTGAACTAAATTCTCACATGGAAGAGAAGCAGAGCAGAGGTCATCTGCATACTAAATTGCATTTATTATAACATCATTATTGAGTACAAACAGTATGTGGATTTAATGTTTTGTGTATTTGCAGATCTCAGTTAAATATTATTGTGCTCACTGGCAGTTTTAAATGTTGTGCATGGTTTTACACTGGTGTACTTGTAGAGTTGTTTTGTTAACCAGATATATGTAGCTAATATTATATAGCTGTAGTGTGTATGGTAGAGTTTCTGAGAGAGAGAGAGAGAGAGAGAGTGAGAATAGAGAGAGTAATGTGATAATTTATTACAGTTCATTTATTATCATTAAATATACAATTACAGTACAGTTTCCTTTATTGTTTTACTACCATCTTTGTTATCCAGTATAAACACCTGAATTTTCTCTGTATGTTTTGAGCTTTAACTTTATTGATATCCAATACTTATAAGGACACCAGGCTTCACTGTAGCTTTCATTGTCTGAACTTTGTAAATGAAATACAAAAGAAAAAGTCATTGTAAACATTTATTCATATTATACAGCAAAAACTTACAATATTAACAATTTTTTCAATTGATGAATGTCCCACATTTTTTTGTTATTATTTTTACTTTCAAGCATTTATTTGTATTTGCTTTTATATTTACTTAAAAAAACTATGAATTATTGACAATACTTCTAGACAAAGTGTACCAAGTACACAAGATTGCATGGTTACTTCCACCATTGGAAAACTTTTTCATCCATTGTATTAGCATTTTAGCTACTTATTTTTGGCACTTTTTTTCCTAATTTTACACAATTAAAGTGAAACTTATGCAGTATTAATTTAATTATTGGTCAGAAAGTGAGTAAAGATTAAATCAGTACAATATTTATGTTGTTGTGTTATCATATTAAATTTTCTGCATAACCTTATTTTTAACAGCAAATGAAGATTATTTACAAATTAATTTTATCACTTCGAAAGTATAAGTTTATATACAATGGTTTAACTATGTATGTGTTAATATGTCTCTATACAAATGAAATAATACCTTATTTTGGTTTGAAGAATGATGCAGTAACCTGAACATGAATAGTTCATACTCATCCTGGTTTAAGTAAATTTACTAAAATATTTTCCACGACATTTTTAAAAAAAAATTTGTTGTCATATAAACATTGAGGGCACAAGCTGGTTGGCCAGTCGATAAGCTTGGGAATTATGACTAAAAATGTACGAAGGTTTTTTTTCTGTTTTATATCTGCAAGTTACAGAAGCTTTGTTTTTATCTAAAATTAAAAAAAAATAATAAAAAAATTCAATAAGAAGGTTAAAATATCTAATCCCTATTGATGTGATAAGTTCACGGATCTTTGGAAGCGTATGAATGATGCAGAAGTTCGATTCTGTAAATTCAAAGGCCAACAAAGTGTTAAAAATAAGTTGTTCATTTCACAGGTCATTTAAATAAACTAAACAAAACAAACTAGGTTGTGAAGGGTGTGGTTAAAGTCTTTGATGAGTACAATGCCTGGAAATCTTTACCGGTAGTACTATTTTATTAATAGTGGTATCAAAATTTCATCACTGAGATTCAAAGTTCATCAATAACTTTCATAAAATTAAAATGCGAGGCTAACAAAATGGTCTCTACTTCAGTCATATGGCAACTTTGATCACAATAACAGAGAACCATTCGTGTAACCATAAGTGAAAATTGACCCAAGACGATGTTAACGTTATAACTGCACGGTCAAGCAGGCCCGTAGCCAGCAATTTCAAAAGGGGGGTTCTTTTTCTGAAAAAGTGGACCTTTTCCCATGAAAACTTCATGTACCTAGGTCAAGTTTTATCCAGAGTGGACCTTTTCCCAGCAAAAGGGGCGGTTCTTTCGAACCCCCCGAACCCCCCCTGACAAGGTTACTTATGTTTCTGCAAGGTAAGATAATTTTCTGTCAATATAATGCGACTGTTGTGATTAATTTACTACGTTTAATTGAACTCTGCCGTGTGTATAATATGACTTTGTTGGTGATGTCACTACCTTTCGGAAATTTACATTAATCTTCAAGTTAACTTTTAACTTTAGGGCCTACCTAAGTCATAATGAAAACTTCAAATGAGAACGACAAACTGACGACCAGTGAAGATAAATAACTTCAGTAAAATTCAACTACATTTAACCCAAAACCCTTAACTCCCAAAACCCTTATTCAACAAATAGAATAAGTTCATTGTGTCCCCATCCACTCACTACGTGAGGTTACAGACTAAAAATACACGACGGGTTTTTTTTCTGTTTACTGGCAAGTTGCGTCTGAAACTGCGTTGTGAAGGGTGTGGTTCGAGCTTTTGGTAAGTAAAATACCTGGAAAATTTCACCCGTGGCACAAGTTGATTTTTAACGATATGCAAGATTTCATCTTTGGCATTCAAAGTTCATCATTAATTGTGATAATTGTTATGAAATTAATAATGCAAGGTTTATAAAATGGTCTCCAATTTCAATCACAACAAAAGATGCGAAAGTGAAAATGGACCCAAGGCGATTTTTATCCGTTTAAATGCAAGGTCTTGCTTACCTACATTTCTACGAGGTAAGATATGTCAATTTTATGTCAACATGATGTGATCGTCGAAATTAATTGTTTATGCATAATTGAACTTGCCGATTTCATAATGGTTTTGTTGGTGATGTCCAACATATCTAAAGAGGGGATTTTTTTGTTTACTACATTAATCCTCAAGTTTGCTCTACTCCTTACATTAATTGATATTAACATAATAACTGATACAGGGCTTGTCGGACTGTTATCTTGAGATATAAATTTATTCCAGAATAGACTTACAAATCGATTGCTTGACCTAGGTACAGGGGCGGATCCAGGATTTTTTTTTTTTTTTGGGGGGGGGGGGG